ACAAGCTGGCAGAGGGTAGGTTTAGGTTAGACATCAGAAGGCGCTATTTCACGGTCAGGGTGGCTAGGGTCTGGAACCAACTTCCAAGGGAGGTGGTGCAGGCTCCTACCCTGGGGGTTTTTAAGAAGAGGTTAGATGAACACCTTGCTGGGGTCGTTTGACCCCAGTACTCTTTCCTGCCATGGCAGGGGGTCGGACTAGATGAACTTCTCAGGTCCCTTCCGACCCTAGAAACTATCCCAGGCAAGGCTTTGTTTAGCAGAGTCTTAAAAATCTCCAAGGATGGATGGATAGTGCACAACCTCTCGGGTAGCCTGTTCCAGTGCTTCACTACCCTTTTCATGAGAAATCTTCCTAATATCTCACCTAAACTTCCCTTGTTGCAACTTGAGCCCATTGCTCCTTGTTCTGTCATCTGCCACCACTGAATATAGTCCAGCTCCATCCACTTTGGAAACACCCTTCAGGTAGTGAAAGTCTGCAATTAAATCCCTCCTCAACAGTGGTGATGTGTAGGGGGTGCATATGGGGGCACGTGCACCCCCTGACATTGGCCACCACTGACACTGCCAGTAGGGTCTGAGGACAGTCGCCAATTGGCAGGCTGATGGCCTCCCCCCCCCCGCCCCAAGATTGTGGGGGCGCTGAGAGAAGCACTGCTGGCACTTTTTGGTTTGCTGCCAGCTGCTTAGTACCCCCTGCTGGTCAATGATCAGCTGCTGGTGCCTCCCCAGTATCAGGGGGCACCAGTTGCCCATGCCCCTCAGTCTTTTCTTCTCCAGGCTAAGTAAGTTCCCTCAGCCTCTCCTCAGAAGTCATGTGCCCCAGCCCCCAAAACATTTTCACTTCCCTCTGCTGGACTCGCTTCAATTTGTCCACATCCTTTCTGTAGTGGGGGGCCCCAAACTGGACACAGTCCTCCAGATGTGGCCTCACCAGTGCTGAATAGGGAGGAATAATCACTTCCCTTGATCTGCTAGCAACACACCTACCAATGCAGCCCAGCATGCTGTCAGCCTTCCTGGCAACAAGGGCACACTGCTGGCTCATATTTAGCTGACTGTTCAGCTTCTTTTCTGCAGAACTGCTGCCCAGCCAGTCAGACCCCAGCTTGTACCAGCGCAGGGGATTGTTTCGTTCTAAGTGCAGGACTTCGTACTTGTCCTAATTGAACCTCAGGAGATTTCTTTTGGCCCAGTCCTCCAATTTGTTGAGGTCACTCTTAATCCTAACCCTACCCTTCAGCTTATCTACTCCCCCAGCTTGGTATCATCTGCAAACTGGCTGAGGGTGCACTCCATCCTTCTTCCAGATCACTGACGAAGATATTGAGCAAAACCAGCCCCAGGACTGACACCTGGGGTACTCCACTTGATTCTGGCTGCCAACCAGACATTAAGCCTGCCAACTGAGCCAGTTTTCTATCCACCTTATAGTCCATTCATCCAACCCGTAGTTCCTTAGCTTGTTTGCAAGAATGTTGTGGGAAACCATATCAAAAGGCTTGTTAAAAGTCAAGGTACATCACATCCACTGCTCTTCCCACATCCACAGAGCCAGGCATCTCATCACAGAAGGCAATCAGGTTAGTCAGGCATGACTTGCCTTTGGCGAATCCATGCCGACTGTTCCTAATTAAATCACCTTTTCCTCCAAGTGCTTAGTCACCGATGGGCAGCATGAGAAGATGCATACAACTTACCTGCTCATAGTTAAACGTATCCAGCATCCCCAGTACAAGTCCTTGAATTTCTCCAAGTTTTCCTTTACCATAAACAGGATCCTGCATCAATAAATACATAAAATAAAATAAATCTGAAATTAAATAAAGAATACAAAGCATGGCAGTTCACACCATTACATTTTTATTCCCATAGTGTGCCATGGTAGATTACCAGTTACTATTAAAAGGTCAGTGTTTAGCTACTACATGAGTTTATCAGAAACACCTGTTCCCTCCTGTGTGGGTGGACAAAAAGTCCCCAAGAGATTCTGACATCTTAATGGTAACTACTCTACTACAATCAAGAAAGACCACTTAGATTACATTTTGCAGGACCATGAAGCCTGAAGCTACAGATTAAAGATTTTCCAAAGAGCATGAACTCAAGCTGTCATTTTGCTACTTTCTATTATACCATCTCCAAAATAAAACCAGAGAAAGTTAATTTTCATGCAAATTCCTAATGAAGAAGATAGCCTTAACAGAGCAAAGCATAGATCAGGACCGGGATCTTTCCGTCTACTACCACAGAGGTATGAATAGCAGCAATTTTACAACTTCATTAAGACAAAACATTCCCACAAGAGTGGAGAGAAACTACACAGAAATGCCAGATGTCCTCTATACCTCAAGAGAAAGGAACACTGTTCCCTATACTTGCTGGCAGGTTAGGAGTACTGCCACCCTTTGCCTTCTAAAAGAATGAAAAAGCACAGCTGAGTGCCAAGGAAGAAGGAGGAAACACTATTTCCAAGATATACGAGACAGATGTCATCTCTACACTGCAGATCTTTCTAAAAGGGACATGTTTCCTATGCCAAAATGTCAAACATAGACAAAATAATCTTTCTGCTTCAGGTTGCTGTTTTTTTAAAGTCATGTCATTGCAGTTCAATAGAGGCTCACCATTCAATCAAACCCATTTCCTCTGCTACAGTCCGCCTGGTTTTCAAGATAAAAAAGAACTCATTTTACGCAGTGATGAAACAAGAGCACACAAGATAAATGCATTGTATAAAAGAAATAAGAGAACAACCACAATATTACTCCTAAAAGGACAAATATGAAGAAACACCGAAATCAGCTGATGACTTCAGATACATATAATGAGATGTACAAAGTTGTGAGAAAATCAAACATTTCACTTAACAGACTAAAATTAGAAGCAGTCAAATACCTAAAAAGGTTATCTGGGTAGTCCAAAAATCTAGTCAGGTACAATAGAAACTTCTGCAGAAAAGCACTCAGTAGCAAATTATGGTATTTGCCCAAATCCAAGATGACTCTAAATTCAAGACACCCCACCCCCCTTACATTCTATGCAAGGAAAATGTATAGATTTGTTCTAACTTTCCATCTAATTATGGGAGGGTCATCTTAAATTCATCCCCCTTATTGCTGCAGTGAGGAAAGCAGAGGCAGGGGTGAGTCAAAGTTTGACCCCTTACCCCTGACATCTACCCCCATGCTGCCTGCCCCCCAACCGCCCCACGTTTCCCCCACTCCTGCAGCCTTTCCACCCCCCACCGCCACTTACCCTCCAGCCCCACTCCAGCACATGCTTGCTCTAGCCTCAGCCCAGCCTGCTAGCAGTGGCAGCTGCACCCTGAGCTCCATGGCTTGGCCAAAGCTGCTGCTGCTGTGTCAGCTGTTACTTGCTCCATGTGCCAGGCATGGAGCAAGGGAGTAGATGGGGAACAGACAGCAGCAGCAGCTGCCTCTCCCCTGCTGCTGCTCTGTACTCGATTCCAAGATGAGGGGCTATTTCACACCCCAAATGTTAAATGGGGGAAATAACCTCATCTTGGAAGTGGGTAAATACAGTAGCTGTGCAGCAAAAAATCAGATGCAAGATTAGAGTTGAAAAACTGTTTATAACGGTAGGTTTGCTATTTTTGGCTTGGTTGGATTTGGTGCAAACATAATGCAGCTACCCCTAGGTACACCAAGCACAGACCACCACAAATGAATCTGACAGCCAACAGACAGTGTGGATCATGATGGATCACAAATACGGTCACAGGAGCTTACTGACTTATGCAAACAGAATTATTGCCTCTACAAACTACATGAGAAAATAAGCATGACAGAACAGAGTAACGAATACATTAGGCTCATATATAGACAACGGGGGAGACACTGCAACCTGCTGAATGCTAATAATTCTGGCATTTAGTTCATTATTAAAAGACAGCATCCAAATGAACTTGGCATTTTCCAGGCACTTAGGACAAGCTGAGTTACTCAATTTTTTAAGGGTGTGTGTGTGTGTGTGTGTGGGGGGGG